CTAAGGTCATTCGTTTTTGATTAACTACAAAAAAAAAAACAAAATTTGTCTATATAATTGGTTTGTATAAAAATTCCCGTTTTTCTTCATTTTACTTTTTTCCACTAGCTAGTAGGGATAATTACAGGAATGTACAGTAATACATAATAAACTAATTTCGATAGAAGGCAACTAAGTTTAGTTGGCTAGTACCTTCTAACATTTTATAATCATCACCAAGGCCTCGCCCTTAACTTTTAACCAACATCACAATTACATTTTTTAAAAATTCTTCAACCACATTTTTGTACAATATTCTTCAGTTTTTCATAATTTTCCAACTGAAAACATAAAAAAAATTATTATGAGAGGGGGGTATAATGACAACCGCCCCTCACCACTAGGTTCACCCCTGATTGCATAGTGTTATAAGGTAGGTACAAAATTCCTCTATTAATTTACTTTTGATAAATGTATTGGTTGGTCTTAACAACTTTTATTCTCCCATAAACATATGCATTGCTTCCAATGAAGCTGATCATCCATTAGTTTCAAAAGTTTTTGACGTAGGGTGTGACTGTGTGAGCTGAAATTATAAAAGAAAATAGCATAAATATTTTTTATTGTGGTATATGAAATTTAAATACTATCTTATACCCCTCCGCCTAACACCACCATTTAATCTTAGCTCATAAATTCATTAATGGCCTAAAATGTAGACACCACTGACGATAAAGGGTCTTTTCAATTAGCTAACGCCTGGGTCTTAAAATTGTAGTTACAGCACTGGCGGTACCTACATATAATAGCCTATAGGTATGTATATGCATACGAAGTCATTGTTTTACTGCTTTCCAGAACATTGAGTATTTTAGTGTTTTACCTTTTTCAGATGCTATATGGCAACCTGCTACATCGATTTTATCTAATATTCTGGAGCAAGAAACTTTTCTAAGAATTTTTACACATACTGAACAATAAATATATTGAAGCACTTAAAGTTCAGATGAGTGGAGTAAAGTACTACGAATTTCACGACGATGTATAACCTGTAACTTTTCTCCGACTTTAAATGCTTTCAGATATAACAATGTTTGTGTTCAATGATATCAATATTATTATACCATTAGGCTTTTTAGAAGAGTTTTCTACTACGGATTATTTTTACAATACGTAAGTTAACAATAAGAAAAAAATATCAGTGACCCTATACTTGTTGTAGGTACAAATATAATATAGTAAATCTTTCAAACACTTCAAGCAGCCAGCTCTATGTTATGATATATTTATTTTTTTAAATCGCTAAAATAAGTGTTGCTGGTCAAATGCATCACTCCGACTATAGTGCCTTATGTTTACACTACTGCATATTGTACACAATAGTATACATATATATATTATACATGTTTGGCGATACTCATATTTACCCTTTCTGTTACCTATAGGTATATTATGTACTATACCTAAAAATAAGTGACAAGAAGTTGGGACCAAAAGCGAGCACAAGAATTATAAGAGGACGTTTTTCAAATAAAATATAAAATATTAGACAAAAATATGACTTTAGTTGTACAAATACTGTGTTGGCTCTACTAAAATAAAAAAAAATGATATAAAGAGTAAGTTATAGAAAGAAGTTCTACGAGTGTTTGGTGCAAGTACTTTTTTATAATCTTGCGAGGGAAAATAAACAAATAATAGCTTATTCAATTATAGTAAAATATGCACAATAATACAATATTAAATGTTACATCAATGTTGATATCAATAGATATTAAATAAAAATTTAAATTTTCTGGACACTTGTACAACTTCTTATTGCCTATTTTATTGGTTTTTAAATTATACTACTCACTGTATTGTCGACGCAATATTGGAATAATACAAAAATACATGATAATAGAATTTTGTAAACATAATAGGTATGTCGGAAATGGCATTGGACTAAGTATTGATTATAAATAGTATTTATAAATTATAATCAATGGATTAAGTCTTTTTCGAGTCAATTTGTAGAAGTATATTAGAACTTATTTGTTTATGAAAATATAATTAGGTATAATCTAAAATTACAGATATTTCCCCTCAAAAGGGTTGTGCACGATTAACTGGAGCAAATGTAAAAGACTATTTTATAACAAAAACAAATTAAAACCCCTACTACACTACAGTCTGTCGTCTGATATTATGATCTTTGGGAAAACTTAATTTGTTCTTCGTTTGGGATCACTCGCTGTTTTGTTTGTATGCGGTAATGTATCAACTTTTATAGCGCGCCTTCTCCGATTCGTGATCGAGTTTTCGATAAAACCTTTTTTTCTTTTGTTAGGTAGGTATAGTTACTTATGGACGCTTCAAAACTTTGACGTGTCTAGGGATTGATAACTGCATCCAATTGATGTATAATCTGATTAAGTTAGAGGCCAATCATCGATTTTCACAGTTTCCTTATTCGAGTTACAAGAAACTACTGAAGAATTACGAAAGCCTATCCTAATGTTGTAATTTTACATTGATCAAGCGGGTGGAGAGAGGGGCATACTAATACGACAATAAAAAAAAAAATCTTTGAGTTTAAAGATTTAACAAAAATAAATGAATATACTAATAATTTTAACTAATGTATCTTTTGCATTAAAATAATATGGCTTATTTTAGTTGTATACAATCTTAAAATAAGAAGTACAATATAAGATTTAAATAGAATTTCTATTGTTAGATTTCTGTTGCATTGTATAAAGAACAATTTAACTATTTTTGGAGAGTAGGTATTCGTAATTTCGTATAGTCCGTGGGTAAAGGGTATACTATAATATTATTATGTAAATAATATTTTAAACAAGCACGACAACTGATAGTTTATAAATAACATTGTACAACACTAGAAAAATATAAATAGTTTACTCCTATAGGTATAATGTATTTGATAAATTTATATTATTATGTTATCAGTACGGTGGGATAACCATCTTTAAAAATACAATGATATTTTTATTATTATTATTTAAATTTTAAGGAATTATATTTATATTTTGTAATATTTTTATCACGACAAGTAAATAAGATATGCTTTTTTTTAGGCAGAATAATATTTTATCTATCCAGCTCATCTTGCCACTCAGAAACCGTTACGATTTAAAAATAAAAATAGTGGTCGTAACATTTTACTGTAGGTAATATTGAAAATGAAAAATACAGTTTTCGGACAAATGTTTGTATATGAAATCGTAAATCGACACGTAGACACTGCTATGTCCCAAGATGAACTGGACGAGTTATACTTACATTACAGTATTATACAATATTATTGTATAGTATGAATAAAAACATAAATAATACACGTTACCAGAGAGCCCTAGAGGGAGGGGGCTAGTATATTCACTGGTAAAGAATAATTATTTAAATATTAAACTAACATTACGTTTTAGGTTATCAAAAACCCCATTTAAATTTTAAAAACATATTTGAATTTCTTATTCTATTTTCTAGATTATGTAATAAATGGATTTTCGAGTTTTTTATTGCTTAATTAGTATATAGTATCAAATTAATTATATGTATATATATATATTATTCTTTTTTCAAAATTCACCGTTACTTTAATGTTGCAAAATAAAAAAAATAAATCGAAAATCCATTTCCTACATTACCTAGAAAACAGCATATTTTTTCAAAATTAAAATCGAATTTTTGGTACCGTGTGAATTTTTTTTCCGCTTATTGGTCTAAATGCATGAAAAACGAAAAAGAAACGACCAGCTTTCAAAATCTTAAATAATACATAATATAAATATATTTATTTTATAAATGAACACCATTAGGAAAAAAATTGGTGGTCCTAGAATATGATCCTTGCAAGTCCCCTTCAGCTCACCTAACGGTTTTATGTTATACGTAATTAGATGGGTATAACCATATTGTTAAGAACCCCTGATTAGTACATATTTTATTTTTTATATATCTATATATGTTAACAACATATATAGACAATCATAATGCAGAGTGTGTGTCGTAAGACGCTGCCACCGTGGGAACCGCTGAATAAGGGTTTTTGATGTGAGACGGGGCACCGTCACGACAACACACAGGGAGTCAGTCAGTCGTAGAATTACCAGTGTTCGAATAACAGATTGTAGCTACACTTAATTTTTACTACCAGTTTTAATAAAAAATACATTAATTATTTTAATTTTCAATTGGTGCGTACGTTTATTTTGTGTTGTGTGTAAAATCCATAACATATTTTTCATTTTGTTTTTTAATTTTTTCTGCAATTATTTTTTTTATGATTTCAAAAGCCTGAACATTCAATACAAAGACCTCAGATGTTATTCTTACCACAACTAAAATATATCGAAAATACATGGTTACACATTTTTTTTCCGTTATAATCATGATTTGCAATTCATGCATGACAAAATGTAATTATTTTGTAGTGAAAACATTTGTACATTTTTTATTTTAATACCCAAGTGTTGACATATTAATTCAAGATCTCACCCATTAAGTTAATCTTAAAGCAATTAAGAGCAATTACAGATATTCTTATATCATTGGTCGAAGCAAGACCTGCATTGTGGGATAAAACATTGGACTTATATAAGGATAAGACATCGAAAGAATCAGCATGGAGGGAAATATGTACAATTTTAAATGAAGACTTTCCAGAATTGGATCAAAAAGAAAGGCAAAATTTTGGTAAGTAATTATAATTTTTAATATTATTTTAATTTGTACATTTTGTAATACAGTCACGTTACATTTTATATGCAGGAGTTTATAACGAAAACGGAAAGATAAATATGTATATAATAAACAAAAACTATATTTTAAGTAGTTAATAAATAATAACTCATGTAATATATATGTATATCTAATAAAATAATAATATCTAATATGACGTAGGTATGTAATTATAATAATCTAATAAAATCTTGATCTTGAAGTTTCTTGACTGCGTAATATAAAAATATTATAGATTGTAATAATTTAATCATACAGATAACAGATGACTTGTATATTTAAAAACCTATGGATTCATCTTGCCAAGGGACTGATCCAACTTCAGAGACAAAATATTCAGCAAATGTTGCTCTGATTGAATTTGCAGAACTGCCTCCTCTGATTGATTGTGCGTTTAATATATTAGGAAAACAGTTTATTTTTGGTTCTATCTGGTCACTTTGAAAATCAAATCCATCTTTTTGTCTGACAAAATTATGTAATACTGTGCATGCTTTTACTACCCAGATAGCTGTTTCTACATTTACGTCCAAAGGTCTATGAAATATTCGCCATTTGTTTGACAGGATACCAAAAGCGCATTCTACATATCTCCTGGCTCTAGTTAATCGATAGTTAAATACACGTTTAACCTTATCTAAATGTGTCCCTCCATAAGGTCTTAATAAATTGTCATTTAATGCAAAACCTTCGTCTCCAATAATCACGAAAGAAACATTTGTGTTTGAATGTTCACTTAAAGGTCTTGGTATAGGTAAGTGCAATGCATTTTCTGTCAACTTTTTCCAAAATGTTGTTCCCTTAAAAATTGAAGAATCACAGTCTTTTCCATATGATCCGACACTCACATATATAAACCGGTATTCCGAATCTACGACGGCTAATAATATAATTGAAAAATAGTCCTTGTAGTTGAAATACATCGATCCACTATTTGAAGGCTTTTTTACTCTTATGTGTTTTCCATCAACAGCACCAATACAGTGTGGAAAATTGGCCCTTGATTGAAAACCATTCGATATTTGTTCCCAGGCCGTAGATGTAGTTGGTAATTGCATAAATTCGTTATGTAGATTGGCCCATATATTTGATGTTACTTCTCTTACAATGTAGCTTATTGTTGAAATACCGATTCGATAGGAATAATGAAGATCTTTAAATGAACACCCAGACGCTAAATACCTAAGAGAAAAAATTAAAAATTAAAAATAAATAATTATATTTGTATACACATTTAATTATAATTTAAATCATTAAAACCAGGTAAAATCGTTTTGAAAAAATGGACCCAAACAAGAGATTCATGGATGAAATCGATGAAAAAACAAAAAGATGAAAAAAGATCTGGATCTTCTGCCAAGCCATCAAGATTGTATTTGTACCATAATTAAATGTGTTTTTTAAAAAAAATAATGGACTCAACAACTGTCCAAGAAAGCGCTGAGGATGGTCCGATTGAGCAAAACGAAGGATCACACCAAACTGATGAGAGGGAAAAAAACCTTTTTAATGAATCACCAACTAACCAACCTAGTATTTCTGGTACACAAAAGAAGCGCAAGTCAGATCCGTTGCGTGAATTGGACGCAAAAATGTTGAAATTTATCGATCACCAAATACAGACACCAGGGAACGAAGAAAACCGTCATTTGTCATTTTTCAAAGGCCTTCTGCCTAGCATGATATCACTTAATGAGGATCAAACTTTAGAATTCCAAGCTGGCGTCATATCGTTGTTACAAAATATTAAAAAGAAAACCTCGCAATATGCATACAACAACCAACACAATTTACAAACACCAACTCCTATGCAACATAATTATCCGTGGCCAAATTATGAATATTACTCCCAACTGCCTCAACAACGTCAACCACATTTCCAGAACATAACCGTACACCAACCAACAGCTAGCCCAGAAAGTGTGATTTCATCACCAGTTTCAGTAATGTCAACCAATTACTCCCAATTGCCTCAACAACGTCTACCACATTTCCAGAACATAACCGTACACCAACCAACAGCTAGCCCAGAAAGTGTGATTTCAGCACCAGTTTCAGTAATGTCAACCACAAGTCAAGAGTCCGATGAATATGACTTTGCTGATATAATTTAGAGCTAAATATATTAATTATCATTATAATTATTAAATTAGTATATTATTATTATTATTATTACTTATTATATTTTGTTAAAAGTTATTATTTTCATTAAAATATGAATAAGTACAAAAATAAAAGTATATAACTTACCTTAAACAGATGGCTAATTTTTCTTCTGGACTGATGCTTGCTCTCATAGTTGTGTCTTGCCTTGTCAAACTAATTTCTACTCTTCTCAATAGATCATCGAAAGTAGGTATCGACATTCGAAAATAATTAAAAAATTTTGTTTCGTCCTGTCGTAATTGACACATTAGCGTATTAAAAGAGCCCAAAATATTCCTTTGTCTCACAATAGGATGTACCCAGAATCTTCGATTTGAAATCCGTTGCTGTTGACGATACTTGCGATACCAGTATATTACTATAAATGTATTCCAGTCCATCTTCATGCGTCTTGATGCACATACGATACGAATGCAACTGAAAACCGAGGACGGTGTAGGGTTGAGTACGGTGTACGGTTAAATTACCGTACCGTCTGAACACTCCAACCGAAAGACACCGAATCGAGAAAATATCCGATACGGCGAAAATATCGAATCGTGTGAACGGGCTGTAAGTAAAACAGGGAATTTTTGTTCTGTTCGGTAATAATGTTTCATAAAATTATCTATAATTTTAACAAATTATATATACAGTTAAAATAATATGTTATTTGTATGTAACATTAGAGGCTTAGGCATGATTATTCAATTAGGGGGAGGTGGGTTAATACGCATACCCCCCCTGGCTACGCCCCTGTATAACATACTATAATGCACCTACACTTTAAAATATATTTAATTTTAAGATCGAATGAAATTTATTTAGACACTACCAATCAATTACGTTTTATCGTCACTCTAGCGCTTTAGAGTAGGTTTTTGGTGTTGAATTCAGTGATTCTGGAGTGTCCATTTTGTTTACGAATGTAGAAAAGTGAAAAGTTTAAACAGGAAAATGGAAACCTATATAAAATCATTAAAAAGATAGCCGAGGGTAAATATAGATTTAAATGTCAAAACCCTAAGGATAAAAAAAAAATAATATTATTTTGAAACTTTTTGGCACTAGGTATGTGTATTATTATTTACTATACACAATCGAAATTGTCCCAATATTTGAACTTGTTTAAGCTATTAATACCTCAAACTTCTTTATACCTTTTCAAGTTTATATTGACTGAATGACTGATAAGTTAACAACAACTAGAAATATTTTATGAAATAATATTTTAATTATTGTTATACCCATAATATTCCTATGTGATAGGTTTTTCGCAAAAATGACATATCAACCAGTAATACACAAATGAAAAAATGAATTTATTATAGAAGTGTAAATATTAAGTGTAATTATATAAGTATTCTTAGAAATATAGACATGAAGCTCCAGGGTTTTGTTGCCTTTCGCCTACAACCACGGACCTTATGTTAGCACTGAGTGCTAGTCAAGAGCCGCGGAGGTCTTACGGCCTTCGCCTGCCGACCAGTCCCAAGTTCGTGGACGATAGGTTATGCGACCACACGTCGTCTAAGGACCACGAGCACTGTTCCGTTTTTGGTCACGGACAACCTTCGCTGCATATAGCCCCAACGATAGGCTGGGTGGGCGCTAAGGATTGTCACCATACAAGTGTGCACGGCTCCATCACTCGGCAGCTTTCCCCTGACCAAGCGTACGGTCTTTAACCGCCACCCTGAAACCAAACCACCGTCGACCACGAACAATGTCAGCCGCGATCGACGTGTGGGGGCACGGAGCAAATTTCTCAGCAACGTGGGGCCCCTCACATCCCGAAGTACCATTCAAGCTTCCCGTTAGGTAAAGCACATTAATGGTAGGTTGCTCGGACTAAGCTTCGTCGGTGGCTTACCTCAGCTTATTATGGTCCTCCCGAGATTTAGGCGGTGTACCGCGGGCTCACGGTTGGCCCGTATAAGCCTCCCAGAGGTGTCGCCAGGTGGTTAAGTCCAATGACCGAATCGCTCTACTCGAGGTCGCTATCAGAATCTCGCAACGCCCTAGTCCCCGAAGGTTTTGATGCGTCCGCGATCCAGGTGCCAGCTCCGGCTGACCTGTTTCCCTTTTAGTCACCTCTTACGACAAGCAGAGAATACTGATGCGGAATTCTGTACGGCCCCACAGCAGGGCCGTACTACTCGTAACTGACGTATGGGAGGGCATCCCGAGGGCGAACTCGAGCGTGCCCCACCGTTTCCGTCGCTTTCTCCATACGCTCTCATTCGAGGCACCCTGAGTGCTAGGCCATCCGTCGTGGACGGTGGCTGTGCCCTGGCCTATAAGGTCTTGAGGCCTCTGTTCTCGCCCTAACGGTCAGTTCTTCTTGTGAGAGGTTCCCTTGCAAAGACGATCAGCGCCTCGAAAGTACTCCTATTTTTCAGAAAAGCGCCATTTCTCGGAGGCCATGGTTCGTCTTCCTCCCTAGGTATCCTTTTCAGTTTTATTCGTGCTGTCTTGGTCCTTAGGCAAAATCTTAGGACGTGGTTTACGGTCTCGGGCTTTCTGTCCTATTCATAGATCGGGTCATTTACGAGCTTAAAACTGTGCAGTTTACCTCTGAAGTTCCCGTGACCAGTGAGAAACTGAGTCATGTAATAGTCGAGGACCAGAGGTAAGCTACACCTTTGCCGCACTGAAGGTATCATTTTCTGGATCCAACTACCTTTTCCGAACTTTCATATCTTGTTTGCCATTCATCCATTAGACCTTCGCTCCGTAATGCCAGTTATTCCTCTGAGATTCTGTTAGCTTTTGCATGTTTTTTGAGCGTCTGGTACCTTACTTCAATATAGACAGAACATTTATAGTTTTCATAGGTACCTATACATTAGAATGTCGTTTACTGTTTGATGGCCGAAGCCGTCATAACAGTCGGACCATGTATTAGCACTGAACGCTACTTACGAGCCACAGAGGTGAGTGGACGAAATTTATGCCATCCACGCAATTCAAACCGACTGCTCCTTCACGGTTGCCGCAACCTATGTACCGTGGAATCGTTCCGGCGCTGTGACCGGAGCCGATTCGCAAGAATGTAACCCAGCTTCTATGGCGCTCCCTTCACTGAGAAGCATACTGGGGGCGGACACTCGCCTGGCTCGGGAGCGCCCTGGGCTAACCCCTGGCCCGTGCTACTTATCGTATAGGTATAGCGACATAAGTCGGACATACTTTGCCCCCGTCCCGTGGCTACCTTGGTAAAAGGGTCTCAGAATCCTTCTGAACCCACGTGTGCTGCCAACCGGAGCGTTCAGCGACACGTCATGCAGGTTCCATGACGCGAAAACTGGCTCTGTTTACCTGGACGCTTCACACGCAGTAACCCGTAAGCCTAAGCGATTGCACTGACGCATACGTTTCTGCGCCAGCTAATTCGGTCCGTAAGCTTACACGTACCTGGCTCGGTCGAAAAGGTAGGCAACGTCGTATAGACTGTGGGTCCTCACAGATCTGTTAAAGACGGGCCATTTGCTCATAGCTGTTCGCGGCGCAGTATTAGTCATTTCTGCGCTACCACACTAGTGTGGGGAACCGGGCTTCATCCAATCCACAACCTGGTGACGAGTACTATCCCGTATAGCTAAGGGTGCTCCAATAATGCTGGAATATAAATATTGAAGTCTTGAATTCATTCTTTCAAGTTCTGGAATAAATTACCTCCCATGGATAGTGGCGGTAGATTACCAATCAATCCAGTCATGTTGTGGTTAAATTGATACTGATGATGTTGAAACGACGTAGAAAATAGACATAGACGATGTGGAAAAATACACGTGTTTATTTAATGACGACGCTCAATGGACAACGACATGTTATCTATGGTATTATGACGTTATTTTATTCTACGGACGACACAGGATCGAGAACACCTGACACCATGTTGTGATTTTGAAATGAAGTAGGTATGTAAAAACCTAGGTACCATCATTATAGAAATAATTACTGACAAAATAAATTGACACAAAATGACAAACTAATAATATAATGGCAAAATAATATCTGACACGAGAACAGCTAATTGTGTCGTTACATAAACAATATATATGGCGTCCTAGCTCTCGATACACACACACACGCACACAAACACACACACACATACACGTTGAAGGACAGTGTTACTATAACAAAGAAGTTGTTTTAAAAATTCTGTGAACAGATTTTTGAAATATGTTTTTGAACCAATTTTATTTGTATTTAGAACTTGTAACAAATTTTCATTTTATTAAAAACTCACATAAAATCGGCAAGGTATCGAACATTTGTTCCAAAAAAGTTAAATGTCTCCGGTAAAATTTCTCATGTAGAAAAGAATGTTGCCTATTGATTTTATAAACACTCTTTATTAGTTGGAACAGAAAAGAATTATAATTTTATAAGATTGACATTAATAGAAAAAAAGCACTGTTCATTTAAATAATGTTTTAGAGAGGGTTATTGTATAAATGAGTTGGATACAAGTCAATATTATGTACCTAAGTAAAATGTAAGTACTAAACTAAACAAAAAAATTTGATTTAATGTTCTGGCCACTAATAATATACCTTATGTATTGTTTATTCTAAGATGAATGCATCATATTGATGATATTTACAATTTAGTCAATTTAGAAAATGTTTAAAGAAATATAATAATAATTAATTGATACAAACCTAAAAATATCATTCTAAAACAATGGATATGGATAGTATGGATAATCAACTCCAGAAATTGAATCACATGGATAAAAAAATAACTTTACAAATAACATCAGGTTTAACTATTAAAATTAAAATTATAAATCATATTACGGAGTCTAACAAACTGCAAAATACTGAATTGTATATTAATATTTCTTGAGACTTGAGTTCAATCAACTATTATTACTATAAATAATACAACCCACGGATTAAAAGAATGATAATATACTTCATTAATATGTATTTTATAAAAGTAATTCCTAGGTGGTAAATTAGACAGAATAAAAATAAAATAAAATATTATAATAATATATTAAGTTAATATTAATGTTTTTATATTGTTGCTATGGAAACTACTAACTCTGAAATATGACAACGTAAATTCCTAAAAACTGGAATTAATATTTTAATAATATGACAACTATACAACTAATATAATATAGATCATGATAATATAAACAAAATGATTTGATTGCAAAAGTCCAGATTTGATTCAAGTCCACGCAATAAGTCACTTTCTTACCAGTAATATCATAATATTGTCATTAAATTATTATTGCTATACACTACGCTACGTCACGTGTTTATCTAAGGATCTGTCCGTCAAAAAGTTACGATCATACCATCAATGACCTATGTATAATATATTATATAACTGTTGATTTAATAAGATATTTACTCTGATTCTCTTATTATCTAATTAA